ATCCTTTCCCTGCTGAATATTGCCCTGGCTTCTCAGTCTATAATACTGTTTTTGTGTTGGTTCATCAGTCCCTGGCAGAATAAGATATGTTTTTCTCTTCTTTGTGAACTCCATTAGGCCATAAAATTATCTGTTTTCTGTTTTGTGTCTCACAAATAATATAGCAATTAGCACAAATATCATAGATGCTCACAATGAATGTTGAAGTGAATATATCAACTTAGTATACTCAATCAGCTTGAAATTAAAGAACATATTATATACTTGAACAATATTTTCAGTTTACAAAAATCCTCAAATATATAAGAACAACCCCCCAAAACTATAAGAAATTTGTGAAATATGCATGGTAATATGGTGCAGGTAGAAATCCATGGCTATACTTTTATAATTCTTTGGGTCTATATTATAATATTCTCTAAGTCTCTAATCTCCTGTCTACTAGTGGGGATTGAGTTCATAATAAAAATCCAGATTATTAGGTACAACAATCAAGTACATTGTGTAATTTCTGAGTACTATTATGAGTTGTCCATTCTGAAGCATTTTGTTTAGGAATAGTGGCACTTGAGATAAACAAGTAGCAGAGTCTATGATTCCAGAAATGTGGTGTAATTTTCTACAAGTTTTACATCACATTCATATTCAGATGCCAAACCATAATATTCAGGGTTGTAGATATGCACTTTGATGTCAATAATATAATTTTCAGGCTCAACATCAACAGAGGTATGAGTGGCAGTGGTGACATTATGGGCAGCAAATGTTATTTGCTCCAGTACTTAGTATAGAAGTGGTTACTCCTTGAGTAACTGTCATAGTTTTGAGAATTCTATGTGGTTGCAAATTCAGCTGTTACCCTGAAATTAATAATGGTGGCTGTGGGGCTGGCTGTGGTTGCATTATTTCTATCAGTCATGACTTTATATAGAATAGGTTTCAAGAATTGGATGTCAGGTTTATCTTCAGAGGTTGCATTATTTCTATCAGTCATAACTTTAACTATATAGAATAGGTTTCAAGAATTGGATGGCAGGTATGTCAGTTACTAGTTGTGCTGTCCTCAAAAGTCAGGAATGGTGCCTTTCCTGGCAGTAGTAGTGTCAGAGATGGGGTGATGGCTTGAGATGCATGAAAGATGTCTAAGCTGGATGAATGTGGTGGCCCACTGTAATCTCAGTGCTCTGGAGGTGGGGATAAGGGATTTCTTTGTTGAAATTGGTACCTAGACTAGCTGAATTGGCCATTTGCCTCAATATATAACAAGGATATCCATCAAAGAGAACACAAAACATCAAGTTTTGACCTCCACAGACATGCTCACACACTCAAACATATTTGTACATTCTCACATATTTACACACACACACACACACACACACACACACACACACACACACAACAGTCTCATTACTGATAAACACATATGCTAAAGAAATACTCATGGAGTGTTGTGTAGGAGAGATTGCAACATTCTATCCTGCAGGAAATACCCTTAAGATAGACAGCAAACAACTCCAAATAGCTTCAGGAAGTCCCTGAAACTGACCAGGTTCACCCCTCCCACTCTCCCAACCTGCAGAGCTGTTTGAAGAATGTGTAGTATGCTCCAGGTTCCCAGCTTTTGTGAGCTGCCACCCTTGCTGGGATAGGCTTTGGTGATGCATCTGTCTTTGAGTAGTTTCTGCTCCTCCTGTAAATAAACCCTCATCCATATTCCTATAAGAAACCCCAATCAAACTAAGATGGGTCTTATGACCATCAACCCCCACGTGGGAGGTTCTCTCTTATTGTGGCTTGAGTTTTATTTCCATGATGATTAGGGGTATTGATCACTTTCATGTCTTTGGGGTAACTTCTATTTACACTCTTTTCCCATTTCTTACTGGGCAATAATTCATTTTTCTGATAGTGAGTTTTCTGAGTTCTTTGTGTGTTTTGAACATCAACCTCTTACTGGATTCATGGCTTGCAGACATTTTCTCCAAATCTATAGCTGTCTTTTGTTTTTTGATTGACTGACATGATTGGCTCATATTAATGACATCATGTCAAGAAAACATGAATTGTCTATCTCTTACAAAGTAAGCTCTTGCAACTAACTTTGCTGTTGGAGTTTTTCAGTTTCAGTTTTATGCTGTGGCAGCCAGACCTTTGGAGAAATGCCAAAAAAATGTTGCCAAGGTCAATGTCAAGGAGTTTTGCCTCTAGAAATTCAGAAATGTTGTGGGTTCATCTCAGTTTAAGTCTTTTATCCATTCTGTGCTGACTTTGGTAAATGCTGTGAGATACAAGCTCAGTTTCATTCCTTTGCACACATATCCTAGAAAGATAGGTGAAGAGGCACTCCTTTTCCTATGGTGTCTGCTTGATGCCCTTTTGAAGACTGAATAGACATGTGACATGTTTAGATTTATCCCTGCTTACATTCTGTTACATTGGATTATGTGTCTTTTAAGAAATATGGACTTTCAAGCAATTACATGGATTCAGATCTCAAAACTATTTGTGGAAATTTACTTCTTTTCCATTATTTCCTAACAATGAAATAATCTGCTGTCTGAAGGGACATAGCCAGTTTGATCACATGGCTCTGGCAGATCTTGCCCTTCTCTCCAACTCCCTCTGCCTTTCTAAAAACTGTTAGATTACATTCCTAAAGCTGGCCACCAAGGTCTATTCCCTTATTTGGCCTCTCCCTCCATCTGAGGCTGACTTCCAAGGTCTTGCTATCAAAATATTGAAGTCCAGAAACCAGAAGTCCCCTTTGGCTTAAATAAAGCAGCCACATTAACTTCCCTACCCTGCTTAATGAAGGATCTCTGTGAAAACTGGTGTTTGGCTGTGGTTTGTTCCTAATCCATGGTCTTGGAAGACGCCCCTTGCTGAGCTCGAGGGGTGGGGGGTGTCTCCCTCACAGTCTGTAAGTAAAAATGTAAATAAATAGAATATTGGTCGACATATATAGTATGTATCACTCAATTATTGGTCATTTTTAAAAACTAAATTATTGTGTGTACATTCACGATAATGTTTATGGTTCTTTATATGTAGTTTGTGATTTTTTTAAATCAATGAAGTAAAATTTTACTGTGTTTTATCTTGTTAAATTAGCAATATAATTCATAGAAAATGTAGGTCAGTCAAAGATGCAGCATTTGAATGAAATTATACAGAAGACTAAGTTGAAGGGGCTCTAGATGGCCCCACCGTGGCAAGCATGGCTCTGGAAGTCTTTAACCCCCCCCCCCCCCCCCCCCCCCCCCACCACCCCCTTTCTTTTAACAAAAAACGCCCCCAAGGTTTATTCCCTTATTTGGCCACTTCTTCCTCCTAAGTCTGGCTTCCAAGGTCCAGTTATCAAAGTATGGAAGTCCAATAATCAAAAGCCTCCTTTTTGGTTGCCCTAATTAACTAGTCCAATCAAAATTAAACACCTCATCCTAACACAGGACTTTCCCCTTTACCTTTATAGACTGCCATTTGCCTATGAGCCCCTTTTGTCTCCTTTCTATCCACAGGCAGTCCTTTGTCCCTCTGGGACCAACATCCCTTCCCCCACTTCTTTTGTTCCCTTCCCCTTCTCCCTCATCCTCTGTCTCCTGTGTTTGTCACTTATTCCCTGCCCTTTGTCCCTTTGTGGCAAATAAATCTCTTATTGTTCTGAGAACTTGGTGTTGGGGTACCTTGTGTGAAATACTGGTCCCTTCATAAATTACTATGGATCATACCACATCTGTGAAAATATTGTAGCTTTGGACTGGGTTGGTAAGCAGTAAGTACTTCCCTAGGCAACTCATGTTTCCCTAGTTTGATGTCATAAATATAAACCAATAATGTAACTGAACTGCTAATTTTCCTTGTAGTTAAACGTTTAAGTGTATATATGCATAGATCATGTGAATACGTATGCAGAAGCCTGAGGATAATAAATCTCAGGCATCACTCTTTGGAATTTCACTGGTCTCCTTTGAGGCAGATTTTTTGTTGGTCTGAAAATCATTAATTAGGCTAAGCATTCTGACTGCTGAGCTCCAGGGATCTTTCTGTTTGCGCCACCAGTGATTAGATTAAAAGTTAATACCACCTTGTCTGACATTTACATAGGTTTTGGGAATTGAACTTAGGTCCACATGCTTGCACAGCAAGCACGTTGCTGACTAGCCATCTGCTTAATACTATTTGTTTAAGGGAAAACCTATGTTATATTTTAAAACTCTGATTATGCAACAAACATTTTTACACGGAAGAATCTGAAATTCTAAAGCATCCTGGTGTAGTGTGTGTGTGTGTGTGTGTGTGTGTGTGTGTGTGTGTGTGTGTGTATGTGTGTGTATTTGGCCACAAGCTTTTTGGATGAATTATGTGTGAGAATAGTTTTGTATTTGTAGAATCTCCATCAAGTCCTGGAATATTGTGTTTGTAGTTGTTCTTTCCTGCAGCATGCCTGTGCTCTGGGGCATTTAAATAGTCACAAGAGTCACTTTGTGATTCTCTGGATTGCAACACTGACTTAGATCTTTTCTGATCCCAGTACCATACTTCAAATATTCCATTCCAGTGTCATCCCAGGGTGGCAGTTCTTAATGCCAGATCAAGGACCACTGTGATCTCTGCTCACAGGTGAACTGTATACACCAAATCACACTAAATTTAACTCTGTAATGCTCCCTGAGGCATTGCCAAAGACTCTACTTCTGACATTCAGTTATTGGTTGGAGAGATGGCTCAGTGAGTAAAGGCACATTCTGCCTAGCCTGACATCCAAATTCAACTCCTGGGCCTTACATGGTGGAAGGAGAACACTAGTGCTTGCAAATTGTTCTCTGCCCTCCACATCCATGCTATGGCATGCATGTGCAACACACACACACACACACACACACACACACACACACACACACCATGCACACACAAAATGTTTAAAAAGATATTAGCTGCATTTCATTGACTTTAATCTTCGTGAATCAAAAAAAAAAAAAACAAAAAAAAAAAAAAAACGACTGTAGCCTCAATGTAAAATGTAAGGAAAGAAAACAAAAAGATCTTCTGAATCTGTGAAAATTGCATTTTCTCTTGAATGATGGCAGATGAATGTCTGAAGGAGAGTTCCAAGTTGGTTTCTGTAAGACCTGTAAAAAGTAAGATAGTTGGGAATTCCGTGCATAGAATGCTAATAGTTTTAAGATTTAAGGTTTTCTTTAGCTTCTAAGAGTTCTTTTATGTCCATATCCAAGGACTTTATCAAATTAAGTGTTTCAATTCAAATATATAAAATTGACCTGTAGTGTGCCACACAATTCATGTAACTTCTACACAAAGACATTACCTTTACTAAAGTTTCCTTATACATGATGCATACTGATTTTAATTCAGGATTCTAGAATCATGAGTTATGAACAAATATGTTATCGAGCAATAATTACTTCATTAAAAGTATAATCATGAAATGATTTTGAATCAATAAAATATATAACTTTATGTTAAATGATAATTATTTTCATCCTATTTTCTTACTTTATTTTCTAAAACTCTCTATGTTGAATATTTCCCCAGTCCTTCATCCCTTTCTTAGCACAAATTATTAAGTAACAACTCAAAACCACAATTTATACCTATGGTGGTCTAATGCAGTCACAGGAGGCTTCTGTTTTCTTTTAATTAGTCCATATGGAAGCATGGTGTAGTATTAGGGGCCCATATTTGAAACTGAACAGACTCTCAGTTTGTACATTTTACCCACATTTCTATCTGAGGTGTGAGCTCAAAGTTACGATAAAATGAAAATCCAGAGAGTGTGATAGCCAGTCCGAGGTTATGCTGAGAAGGCAGATTTCCCTTTCTGGCCTATAGCAGTCCCTCACATCATAGAAACTTGCACAGCATCTGAGCTGAGATCAGAGAACATGCACCCAACTTGTAGATTTAAAAAGTCTGTTGCAACAAAACTCAGCATTCATACTTTTCTCTCCAAAGAATTTCACCCTTTGGGAGTTATTAAAAATACCATTAATATTTATAATTATTTAACTTCCTAGATTTTTCCAATTATTTTAGACTTTAGTTATCTATTACCCCAAATAATTAATAGTATTTTGCCTCATGTTGAATATTCTGAAAGCATCCATTTAATTATTTTACTTCTTTCATGGTTTATCTAAGAAGATAGTAATGAGACTCCATAGATCTTCCCAGGAGTTATGTCTGAAGTAAAGAACTTCATGAAAAATATATAATTTCCTTTACTCTATTAATACTAAAGCTAGAGAGACAACAGTACTGTTACAGATTTATTTAGTTTTTTATTTTAATTAGAAAGAAGATTATTTTACATGTTAATCCCAGGTCCCTCTCCCTCCCCTCCTCCCCTACCTCCCCAACTAATACAGATTTATTTTTTTCTTTCTCTCTCTGTGTCTCTCCTCTTCCTTTCTTATATTTTTCTCTCTATACCTAGGGCCTCACAATGCTATACAACAACTTTACATTGAATCATATCCTCAGCCATTTTCCCCCATTTTTAAATTTTGAGACAAGATCTTGCTAAAGTTTTTCAGGCTTGACTATTGTCTATCTAGGCTAGGCTGGTCTTGAACTTGTGATTTTCCAGCCTCAGTTTCCCTAGCATCTGAGATTATAGGCCCAATACTACATGTGACTCTAGTACACAACATGATAGGAGAAATTTCACTTTGGTGAAACATGAGAGTGTACAAAGTATTTCACTTACTGCTTGTGTAAGTATGCATGAAACAAAATTAACAGGTTAAAGTAGAATTGTAACCTTCAGGATAATGTTTGATGAAAGTACAAGTTTTCTTCATTTTATAACAACAGACTGTTTTCATTTCTTATTGAAACAAAGATCAATTTGTCAATGAGTTAACTATCCCAAATTACAATCCTAGTTAGCTATTTTGCTTGCTCCCTTACCATAATTTATACACTTTTACTAGTTTATAATTTGTGATTGTATGTATAAATCATTGCTTACTATATGGATTGTTCATTTTATTTTTGCTTGCCTACCTTTATTGTCTTCTTCGATGGTTCCTTAGTGGTTTTACTATGCAGGTGAAGATATTTGGACTGTGGCAGTCTCAGGGTTATTGATGGACACCGTAGAAGCTTCTGGATTGACCACAGTAGTTATCACTTGTTCAGTGACAGGAATTGTTGTAGACTCAACAGGAGCAATGGTATTGATGATTGGGTTGGCAGTGCTGTCTTCATTTTCATTTGTAGGAATTTCAAGAAAGGATGGGCTTGGAATGGGCTGAGGTACCTCAGTGGGCTGAGGGGAATTTGGCTGTGGTTGCCATTGGGAGATTTGGGGTAGTGATCTAAGTAGAAATAGTTTTATAATAAATGGGGAATATGCATATGTGGAAACAGCTACAGATGGTGTACAGTAGTAGCAATTAAGGTAATAACGAGGATTGCTGTTCACCACATAGCGAACTGGTGTATGCAGGACTCTTTTCTGATCATACAATATTTCATCCTTTTTGTAACACTGCAGAAAGGGAAAATTGTGCAGAGAGGTTCTAATTGTAGATCACAATGCAAATAAAACTCTAGCAGCTTTTGAAATAATGCAGATTTTATGTTGAGCAAAAGAGTATTGGTGGTATGTTTTGAACAAATTAGGTAATTAATAATGGAAACTATCTTTCCATTCTTATGGAAGTACAACATTATGGAAAGCACTAATTAGACTTTACATAGTTAATTATGGTACCTAGTACGTCTCATAGAAAACTTTACCCATTAGATGCAAACACACACAAGGTTCACATAAATGACAATTGTCCAAAAATGTTATTAGCCCGAGAAATGGCATGTTTTATAGCAGAAGAATAAAACATGGGAAGAATTTTGAATTTAAACTTTGGATTTAAAAATTTTTAGTTTAATTTTCTCCACTAAGGACTTTTCTGATTTTATTTATTTCTGCCAACCATGTTCAGTTACAAAATCTCGATGCACTTTTGGGTGGTGATATTAATGAAACAACAAAGTTATGTGCACAGCAACTTTTCCCATAAAAAGAAATAGCTAATGTATTCCTTCAAACACATTTTAGAACAAAAGGAGACATCAATATGAGCAAATGAGGTGGATTTAAAGAAGAGTCAGGCAAGATGTTTTCTCCAACTGAACTATATAGAGTAGGCAGACAGACATTAAGTTCTACTTTTGTTCTTTTCCTTTAAGTACTCCACATGGAGAATAAGCCAAGTAAACATGCAATTGAGCCCTCACAACTTGGGCCAGTCAAAGAAACTAAGGCTATCAGGCAAACATCCAGTTTGGTTCATATATCTTGTTTAAGTGGTGTTTTCACTTATCAAAAGGTACCAGTTGATTCTGTGGAGAGCACATAATTTTTTTAGTTTTTAAATCAGAATGTATTTTTTTTGCAGACTATTATTTACATAAATTATATTTCAGTCATAAATAATTGAAAATAGACTTACAGCCAGTTGTTCTTGACCTTGCACCTCTGAAATCTGAGGGGTTAGGGAAAAAGAATGAGAAATAATAAGGGAGAAAAATCAAAACAGAGATTTTTTGTTTGTTTTCCATTTCACTATTGTATTAAAGATAAGATGAATATTATACTCATTTTTACATTGATGTAAGTATTTAATTAGCACATAAAAGAAAGAATCACATTGCAATTTTCATCTGCTTTTGGCAGCTCATAAATTGAATGGTAAAATCTATAAACCTCTTTTCTTTTGAATTATTTCATTATGCTCTTGTGACTTGAAACCTTTGCAAATCTGTCTTCCAGATAGGATGTGGCTTTCATACTCTGGAAGTCTCAGCAGCTATGATTGTCTACACAAGACCTGCACAAGATGCCGCCTGTCCAAATCCCATCATGGAGCATGGAGGTGACTCACAACACTCCCCTATCCCCGAGAACCTGTTGGTAGTTAATTGTTGCTGTGAGAGGAAGTAGCATTTTCAAAGTCCAGAGTGTGAACTATTATACAATTGAAACCTCTTTAGAAGAGGCATGTCTTCAGAGGCATAGCCACTGGTAAGTTGCCCACACTCATGTAAGTTGACCACATTCAGGTAAATGATCTTTTACACATACCTCTCTTAATTATGTTTTGTTTACACACATAAAAATTTAAGAATAAGAAAAGTAAAGTTTAGAAAAACGATAGGAAGTAGAAGAGGGACTTTTTGAGAAGAGGAAGCAAAACAGTAGGAGTGACAAGAGGGTAAATGAGGGCAAGTGTGACCGAAATACATTTTGCATATGTATGTCACTGTCATGATGAAGCACATTATTATGAACAACTAACATTTACTAATTAAAAATCCTTAATAAAGAAATAAGAAAGGAGAGTTTGTTATAAACTCCCAATAATTCTAGAATTGCTGTAGAACAGGAAGGGATTCATCTTATGACTTAAACTTACATCCTTTTACTCAAAGAGAAAATCCAAGTTCTTAACATGCAATTGACTGCCAAAAAACCAAGAACAAAATTTCAACAAATCAATGAAAGTAACTAAATGCTAAACTCATGGTAAAATTTTAAAGGTAATTTTGACCCCAAGAATTGACTCAAAAGTATTGTTTACTAGACAAATGTTTACATTTAATAATTTAATCAAATGCTTTGTACTCTAAAAATTTTATAATCTTAACAAGAGGGCACACAGTATTCTCTAGGTTGCCCCCCCCACTTTGGCTGCTGGCAGATGCATTTCTTGAAACTGCAGAATGAGTGTGAAAAGAAAGCATAAACTGCAGTGAAGATTAGCTAAAAAGATAAAAGAAACAGACCCTTTTACATGATTCACCTTTAAACATAAAATATCATTCCATGTCTACCAGCCATAGAAATAATTATGGATATGGATACCTGGTAAGGGCTTGGCCAGGCCACAAAATAAGAAAGAGTGACACAAAAGTTAGTAATGGGAGTCCTAGAAAGCCTGAAGGTCTTTTAAACTTATTGAAACATTAAAGTATTTATTTAGTTTTAAGAGTAGACCTCTTGAACATGGATGTCAGTTTGGAGGTCTGGTTAATCTAGGGGGCCTCTAGTAGTGGATCAGTATTTATCCCTAGTACATGAATGGACTTTGGGAGCCCACTCTACATAGAGGGATACTCTCTCAGCCTAGACACAGGGAGTCTAGGCCCTGCTCCAAATGATATGACAGACTTTAAAGATCCCCCATGGAAGGCCTCACCCTCCATGGGGCGCAGAAAGGGGATGAGATGGGGGTAAGTGGGGGGCAGGGGAGGAGCAGAGGAAGAGGGAACTATGATTGACATGTAAAACAAGCTTGTTTCTAATTTAAATAAAAAAGAAAAGAAAAAAATGAGTTCAGGTCTCTAATAGAGATAATATCAACTTACTGTGGGATCTGGGTTTTGCACCTCAGCAGCAGAGTTACAGAATGAGAAATCATGAGAAATAAGTTAAGTATTTAAAGTATTTAAGCATCTAGTCCATAAGGAGGCTGGAGGATGGGAGGGACAGAATTTCATCAAAAGGATTTCTGATACTGGACTAGGATTCCTACATTATGGCTTATGAATTATATTTACAGCATTTTCTAATTTAAAAACAGATCTCTATAGTATAGGAATTTGGAAGATTTTCTATGAACAATGCAGTATGTGTTATGGCAACCAAATGGATATCTAGAAGAATATTTATTTTTATGATATAAGTAAACATAGAAAAACTATTAACCAACTGTTACACTCCTTGAAGTGCTTCTATTTTGATATTCATACAATTGGAACTCTTAAATAAAATTTATTTAACATCTTACATAGAAAATTGAATTGAAGTTAACTTACCCAAAGGGGCAGAGTTAATGCCAGAATATTCACAACTATGATAAAATTCCTCATCATTGCACCTAAAAATAAATTAAAAAAAATAAGACTCTTTTGCTGACAAGCTAGAAGTGATTGTATGCAATGTTTTCCTAAGGGGGGGGGACCTTCTGAATTTATAGGTAGATTTAGCCAGTGCTGGGAACCTATTTTCTCAAAAGTGGAGAAACAGCAAACTTGAAGCAAAATTAGTTTCAAGATAATTTTTGGTTATTTACGAAGCTATCATTACAATGTAATCATCTGTTCATTTGATAAAAGCCTACTGAGAATATGTGCTCTGCCAAACATCGAGGTTATGAAACTAGAGCTAGGTCTTGCTAATGAACAGCATGGGCTCTTAAGGATGAGAAAATTACGATACATACAAACCACAAGACAAGGAACAAGTGGGAATGTCACAAAGGTGGGCTGTTATCAGCAGAAATCTTCATTTCAGATAATCATCAGAGTCTGTGAGGCAAGACTTGCTCAAAAGAATTTGCTAGAGAGAGAAACATTTCAAAGAAGGGTAAGCTTTGAGAACACCTATAGACATTTTGATTGAAGTGATAGACAGGATAAACGTAGAAAGTCTAAAATCTAGAAGTAAAGACTTCAGTGCTCTATGTTAAAGACTGAGGCATGGCTCTGTGAGCAGAAAATAGTTCAGTGTGACCAGACTGAGTTTGAACTTGCCTGTGTAACCTTGAGCATATAATTTCCTCTTTCTAGGCCTTACCTTTGTTATCTGTAAAAGCAGGACTTTAAATTGGGTCATTTCTAACATTTTGTGACCCTTAATTAATATATCAGACATGGGATAGATCTTCTGGGAAACAGCATTTGTCAACATCTAAATTTACTTTTCCAGTAATAAGAGATATGATCAATTTCACTGCTTTAATAAGACATATAGATATGGCAATTTTAATGTCTTTGAGATATCTTAAGAAATCAATTAGTCTTTTTCTAAGAGAGTCACAATGCCTGTCTGCTTGTGTAATTTTAATAGTTCTTAGATAATAACACTTCAGTCTTTTAATATGTTACTACTATATATTGTATTTGTGAAGGGAATCTTCCATGTCTTACTGTAGCTATTATTCTTTCTATACTTGTATAAACTTGAGTTATGGAAAAGCTTTATAAGAGTCTCAGAATCAAGACCAAGATTGCCCCCCCCACAGGAGGGAAAAGGAAAGAATATGAGACCCCATTTGCCTCTCTTGTTGTCAGCCTCAGAGGATTAGAAAGGTCATTTGCTAAACTGACTTTAGCCCCACCTCTAAGAGATCACTGAATTGCAAATATCTCATGTGTAATCAAGTTTGGACAACCTAAGTAAAATGTTTCCTTGAGTGGATTGAATTCTTTATTAGATTTCTTGTTTTCCAGTTATCTTTTCAAATCATCATCTGAAAACTAGTATTTCTTTGTTAAAATTTTTAGATGAGATTAGACTAATTTAGACTCCTTTTAGGAGTTGGATTTCTTTTCAATAACTATTATTTCTTTTTATATTTAACCTGCTATTATAGATATTAAATATACTAACATATGTAAATATATATATCATTATATATTTAACATTAAATGATAAGATCTCCTTTCAGTAGAAAGGTAAGATTCTATTGTATGTACCAGCTATATACTAGTAAGTTCTTGTGTTTGTCTCCAACACTTGCTAAGGAGACATCATTTGCAAAATTAATGGGTTAATTCAGCTTTGAAAGACATGCTTTAATACACTATAACAAAATAAAATATAATAATTATACTATAATAAAATGAACTGTGAGTTTTAAGTTGCAGTAAGATTTAGACTAATCTGAATAATTATTATAGTTCCACTTTCATGAAGAATTAGCCCTCTCTATTTACCTACAGGAGTAGTAGGTTTCCTATAAGTATCTTTATTAGAATTCACAGTGTCTTGTATAATTTGACAGTATCTAGCCTGGACTTAAAGACAAAATACAGCTACTTTTTTTTATTCATAACACTATCTAAAGTTTAATGTCTAAGTTAGAAATTAATATTGAAATGATTTAAGCTTAGCAATCAGGGCTAAAGGAAGACAGTGTGATTCCAAAATAACCATGGTGGTACCCCCAAGCAACCGCTCTACATCACTGCCCTGGGCATTTGAGGACCATTACCTTCACCCGGAGTCAACTCTTGGTTGGCAGTAGGTCTTGGTTGGCCCCTTTGCTGCAGAGAAGACCCAAGATAAATAACTGAGACTAATTATAGGGTATTAGTACCAGCAGTCATATTCTATTTCCCTCCTACTTTTCACCCAATAAGGTGATGACAAAAAGGAAAGATTTTATGTCAACAGGGTCATGCACAGGTCAGTCCTAGTCAGGGCACTGCAGAGCAGGAAATAGAGTGTTAGTCATAAGAATGGAGAAAAAGAAACAAAAACAACCAAAAGAAACTCCTTAAAGAATGAATGCTTTGTGCTTTACAAAAGTATAGGAAAATGTATAAGAATATACTAATTGCATTCTTAACCTACTCATTTCATTTAATTGAACCTAAAATTATTGCTAAAATAACCACAATTATTTTTCACATTTTAAGTGTTTTTACTTGAAGAACTTTGATTTCAAGTGACTTTATATTTAGCATGGCCCATATGGATCATTTTGCTTCCAAAATTATAGCTCTTTACTTTTAAAAAGAAAAAAAATTAACTATCTTAACTATGCATGCCTTCTGTAAATTAAATTCATCCATGAGACATTTTCATTACTGTGAAGGCTGATCATTTGCATTTTGGGTTCAGCATGTATTTCTCATAAATCTCATGGCTCAAACTCTGAGTGCGCACTGCCAGATTCATTATTTCATGTGAAAAACCTTGTTTTATGGACTTTTGATATGTTGGGAATAATTGTTATGTTCTAAGGACAGATCATTCTGATTTGGAGCTTGGGATATAAAACTGCCAATGCTGTTACTATTTTGGTAAAATGTAGCTAGACAAACACTTAGCCTAAATAAATTCAGGAAAGGATATTTTGCTTTATCTGTGTTTTTCTAACAGTAATTCTAACAGTGACTTCACTTTGTGAAGGCATCATCAGATGAAGATTCTTTTTTCTTCAGAATCAATGTAGAACTGCCAGATTGGGAACAAGAAATAAAATCAGCATTGTAGAATTTTCACGTATTTCTGTCTGTTTCAGGGAACTACTACCTGGCTTAGAAAGTTGGGAGCATTGTTCTGATCCCTAGAATACTTGTGCAGTTTATACACAATAAGTCCGGACTTTCTATTTCTTAGAAGTTGGTTTCTGTTATTCAGGGTGTTGCCTGTGAAATACCACCAGGATGTCTATGTACACTGTTAAAACATTCTGTTTTCTTTGGATACCAAGGACCAGTGATAAAAGTGGATGTTAATGGTCTCAAATTCTGTCAGTCCTCAAATTCTGAAGGTGCCTTATTCCACTCTGTCATTTTTGAGCCCTCAATTAATATTAGTTTTAAGCTGTTTTGCTATTTGGTTCAAAAATAACAAAGACTCAGATATTTTTTGAAAAATGTCACTTCAGTCGGGGACTATGTGTCAAGAACACATTGAGTTCTGGGAACACTTCTCCACAGAAGAGGTTTTCTACAGTGGATTAACCACTGGCTTCAAATGCTAATCTGACCCAGGGAGAGGCTTGCAAACCTGGGCCTTATACTCTGATCCACATGCATTATCCAGGTTATGTTTCAGGCATTTTGGACAAAATGCTAACTGAATAAACTGTTATGGAGTGCATAGTCTAACACTTATTCAAATGCTATTGGAATTCGGGCATTGGACATTCCTGTCAAAGGCTATCTGGATCTCAGGAACTTTGAGTGATCTCTGCTGGATTTTTAGTTGAACTAAGTTACCCATGGGACCTTTGCCTAATTCAGTCAGGCAGAACTAGTTCCTTTGTCTTTTTCACTCTTACCCTAAGGCTCAGGGACCACCAGGAAGGAAGAGGCAGGAAGACTGTAAGAGCCAGGAAGAACTAGAGTGCAACAGTGTGGACCTGACAGACTGTTGAACTCGTGAACTCAGAGCAGCGTGGTTGTCTGCACAAGACCTACCCAAGATGGAGTCAGTCTACATTCTAACTTGGAGAGAGGAGGCACTTAGAGCTCCAAACTCTGAGGAGCTACCAACCTTGGATAGCATCTTGGAGAGGGTTAGCTATCTTTAAGGTCTTGGTTAGTGGATGGCCACAGCTAGTAGTATATGAGAAGAAAAAGTTGGTTTTGAGTTATTTTTTAAAAAAGGATAGAAAGTTTGGTGGGTAGGGAAGATGGGGGAGGAGGTGAATCGGGGAGAAGTTAGGGGTGAATATAACCAATATTGTATGAATTTCTCAAAGAATAAAAAATTAAAAACAAACCAAATAAAAATTTTAAAAAATTAAAAACAAACCAAATAAAAAATTAAAAACAAACCAAAAGTAAACTACCTATTACCCTTATATATGTGTTTATTTTCCTTTAATATAACAATATTAAAGAAAATATCTTTGTTCAAGTATTTAAGGATCAGCACATCATCAGGATAAAAGGCACATAGGTGCCCTTCCATTCTAGTTCAATATTATCAAGTTAAAAACATTTTAAAAAATATCTGGGAAGGTTTCCAAGCATAAAACTATTCCTGTGGTCAGTGCTGTTCTCAGTGCCCGTGAGTGAGATGTTCAGTCTAACAGTGTCGTGCCTCTACCATCTCCCAGCTCCCTATTCTCTTGCTCTCAACCCCTTCACAGCCTATGTAGTTAGGTTTAAGTTGGCTTCATCTGTATTGAACGCTTAATAGCCATTCCCCCACTACTGTCATTCTTTATAGTTAAGTACCACTACTATTTACACAGTACTTTGTATGTGTTAGGGTTTATAAGCAACCCAGAAACACATTGATGCAAACAAGCAGACACACATAGTCCATGAGAAGATATACCATTTTATTTAAGGGGTGTAGGCATCTGAGATTCCGGTATATCTGGGAGAGGATTGGAAGGTTATCTTGGA